ATAAGCCTTTGGTGACTGTGATCCCACTCACTTCTTTGCTTCTAGGCAAACCTGCTGCTGCCATCACTGTTCTGAAACAACAACAGAGAGCAAACTTACAAAGTAAACTTTTTCTTACTATGAGTCACGATATTAGAATACAATTTGACAACAAAATCTTTTCTTAATACAGCGTCACAGATCATACCTGGTATTGGAAGGAGAAGCGATGAATGACAAAATAATTGGATGATACACCACACATACGTTATATAAGACCTGGTGTTACCTCCTCTATGACACGGCTCACTTATGGGTGGGAAGGTCTGTGGGTGTATCCAGCTATATTTGTATTTACTTTTTTTGTGCATAATTATTTGTTCTTGTAATTTTATTAATTCAATATGAGTACAGTGAGCCAGTGAAACACAAACAAAATACTACAATAAGTTCTAAAAGTAAAAGAGAAAAAGCAGGTGGGTATCCTTTATGTTCACATACTTGAACTGTCACATTGTAACAACAAATATTGACACTGTCATAGTTAGCCACATGATGTTTTTTTTCCGTTTGAACAGAGTTTAAATGATCAAACAGACAAAGTGTAGCTGCGTAAGGGCCACAGACGCCTACACAGAAACCTCCATAGATTTTGAAATTTTAAAGGTACAGTCAGTTTTTTTGTAAGTTATGAAAACAAAGTCTCTAATTAAGTTTTCAAAAAACAAACAAACTGGTGGATCCTTATAAACTTAAAATTAATCAATTAAAAGTACAGAAGAGCAGACATCGGGTTGTGGAAGCCGCTAATGTGCCCTGGCATCTTAAATATACTGGCTTTTTATGCATGTGGCTAGAGAACGACAACACAGGGCTGGCCCCTGGCATAAAGTGCCTTTGTGGTTGTTTAGGTTAGCCCTAGCATCGCTAACCAGAAGTTAGCCCCAGTAGTGGCTGGGCAAAATTGGAACAACTGCATCATAACGCTACATCTCAATATGGACTTTTGATTATCCTAACACTGAATAAATGGCTCCTAAAAGAATATCTAGGTGCTCAAAAGAAAAAGAAATAAAAAGAAAATCGGAGATGGAAAAAATAAAATAAATATAGGATAAAGGTAAGTATTATTTATTGACTCTACCGGAGTGAATTTGACGATTCTTATTTCAAATGGTCAACTTCTTATATCAAAGTCGTGTTTGAATATATGTAACAGTAAATAGCCACAGTACCTGACCTGCTGGCTCAACATAATAGATGAGATGATGACTCTGAAGCATTTCTTCTGAGAACATACTTATTTTATGACAGTTCGTTCGCCAACCCAAGTGGATTTGTAACGTGCGGTGGAGATGAAGCCAACTGCGGAGGTGTGCAGGTGGATGGCAAATGAGCAAAAGCTTCTAACTTTGCAAAAGTACTCATTTATTTAAAATATCAAAAATAAAAGTGCTACCTCTACTACACATTACTTTTGAGCACACTAGTCCGTGTACACACGGAAGAATCCATTACAGAGAGATGGTACGAAGAAGAGCAAAAAATCAGCTCAAGAGGACGAAGGCAAGGAAGACAGCAGGTCCGGATGGAATCTGCTCCAGACTGCTCAGGGACTGTGCAGACCAGCTCTGTCAGGTGGCCCTGTACATCTTCAACCTGAGCCTGAGCCTGGAGAGGGTTCCTGAACTGTGGAAGACTTCCTGTGTGGTTCCGGTGCCAAAAATCGCACACCACAGGGAGCCCAACCACTTCAAGCCTGTTGCCTTGACTTCTCATCTGATGAAGACCATGGAAAGGCTCATCCTGCACTACCTTCAGCCACTGGTGGGCTCAGTGATGGACCCCCTGCAGTTCGCCTACCGTTCTGTAGTCGGGGTGGATGACGCTGTCATCTACCTGTTACACCGATCCCTCTCTCACCTAGAGCAGGCGGGGAGCACTGTGAGGATCATGTTTTTTGAATTCTCCAGTGCTTTCAACACCATCCAACCTGCAGTACTGAGAAGGAAGCTGGAGGGAGCCGGAGTAGGCAAACAGCTGACTGCATGGACCATCGACTACCTTACCAACAGACCACAGTATGTGAGGCTCGATGACTGTGTGTCCTAGGTGGTAATCTGCAGCACGGGGGCACCACAGGGCACGGTTCTCTCACCTTTCCTGTTCAGCCTTTACACTTCAGACTTCTGTTATAATTCGGATGATTGCCATCTACAGAAGTTCTCAGATGATACAGCTATCATTGGATGCGTATCAGACGGCAATGATCAGGAATACAGGGGGGTCATCAGCGACTTTGTAGGCTGGTGTGAGACCAACGTACTCCAAATCAACGCCAGCAAGACAAAGGAGATGATCATAGACTTCAGGAGGAAGTCACCCCCTACAACACCGGTGAACATCCAAGAGAAAGACATTGAGATAGTGGACTCTTATAAGTACCTGGATGTTCACCTCTACAATAAACTGGACTGGACTACAAATACAGACATCCTGTATAAGAAGGGCCAGAGTCGACTCCACCTGCTGAGGACACTGAGGGCCTACGGAGTCTGCAGGACATTAATAAGGACATTCTATGACACTGTGGTAGCATCTGCCCTTTTCTATGCAGAAGCCTGCTGGGGGAGTGGATGCACGGACAGGGACAGGAGCAGGATGGACAAACTGGTGCGGAGGTCTAGCTCCGTGTTGGGATGTCCCCTGGAGTCTGTGGAGGTGATTGGCAAGAAGAGGATGTTAGTAAAGCTGACATCCATCATGAACAACCCACATCACCTACTGCATGAGTATGTGAGTGGGCTGAGCAGCTCCTTTAGTCAGAAACTGAAACACCCTCGCTGCAGGAAGGAGCGCTTTCGCAGATCATTCATCCCAACAGCAGTTAGACTCTATAACTCCTCAATCACGATGTCATAAGTCACTGGACACTGTGAACATCCACGGTCACCACTTCATGCATAATGGACCTTCCATGTGTATGGACATGTGCAGGTATATATGTATGCATATGTATATTTAGTGTGTTCATGTGTGTGTGTGCATGTCTATACACAGGAATAGTAGTGGTACAATAGTTATGTCAAGCTATATAGTTTATGTCTTGCATATTTCCAACCATATCCTTAATCACATACTGTGTATGCTACCATTGTATATAGTGTATTGTCTTACTTTTTTTTCATTGATTGTACTTATTTGTATTTTTGTATTTCCTTGTGATATCTGTACCTGCGCTGAGGTAACGCAAAAATTTCCCCGTCGTGGGATCAATAAAGTCTTATCTTATCTTATCTTATCTTAAATAAGGGGGTGACACACCAGTCATGAGACAGGAGGCGCCATTATGCAGCGATACACTACATTACAACAGCAACTGTTACAAATTGTAGACAAAAATAATGACCAAATAACCTCGTAGTGTTTTCTTGTATATACGGCAAATCTTTTCACCTGACAAACAGCAACTAGAAAGTAATAAATTTATCATTAATTTTTGCTAATGTCTTTTTCATTAGAACAAGATATACTTGCTACTCATTTTTTATTCATATTGATTTTTCATCGCTATTTATTTGTTCTTTTCAATGTTATGTTATTTTTCATTTTCTTTACTGATATACCTTTTATACAAGTTGCTTTCTTTCTTCACCTAGCAGTGTGGTGGCTGTGCTGGAAGTGTTTTGGGGCTTCATATAAAATCTCAGTTAGGGCCATCGAAATCTTAGGGCCAGCCAGAAGGCAAAGGAGAAAAGAACTCATAAGCATTTGTGAGCCATGGGGACACTCAATGTAATTCTAGGCTAATCTAATTACTTGTAGCAATAGGAAATGAGCTGGTTGTCATACTGACACATGGATTTTGAAAAAACAAAAAAACAAAAACTAAAAGTTTGTCTTATGTGGTTATTATAGCTAGGATTATGCAGGGGTTAAGAAAAGAGAATTCAGCTGAATGATTGGAGAGTACAGTCTGCAATCTGATGACATCTAGTGGTGAGATTTTACACAATACAACAATCAATGAATTATACTTTTGTCTAATAAACTGTTATGATAACTGCTTTAAAGCCACTTCATATTTTAACAAAATCTTCACTGCTTTTTTTTTTTCAAATTTAGTATATGTAGTGTAATAATTTAACTACCGTAGAATTGAATTCATAATAAGTTGGTTCACATTCTTTTGAACTTTCTCTTGTAATTTTATGTTTTGTTTTGTTGCCTTGATATGTCAATATATGAAATTTGTCATTTATCCAAATGCCAAGTTATTTATAATCAGAAACCTTCTGACTAGATTTGAGAAAAGCGGAAATGTGACAGTTGAATGGCGATAACAGTGACAGGAGAATAATGTAAACTTTAATAAGTCTGACCTGAATTCAGTGCCAGTTTTGGTCATTAAGCACAGCTTGGACCAAATCAAAGTAATGCTGCAGGTTTTACATGTTAAGTTGAAGAGAATCAGGAATGAAGTATTATTATATATTGTGTCACTTATATATAATTGTAAATAAGAATTAGTTAACAAAAAACACAGTGCTATCAATATAAATTGTTAAAATGAAGTAAAAAGGAGTTGGCCTAGAATCAAGTTTTCCACAGGTAATACATCCATCATATTTCAGATTTTATTTAAAGTGTATAACTGAATGAAAATGAATCACAGTTCAGGCAATAAATGATGTCCACCTCTTTCATGAAAACATAGTATATCTAAACAACATGTATTTATTTTGAAGATATTAAATAGAAACCGTTAGAGTTCATTTCGTTTCTCCTCTAGAAATTTGATGATGTTCTTTAGTTCTTCCAGTTTCTTTTCATTGTCCTTCATTCTTGCTTTATTGTGATCTTCCGCCCCATTAAACCAAACCCTGGATTTGTCAATGCAGCGACTAAATTTGTTCATCAGTTCCAGCAATGGTGGAAAATCCTCTGCCATTGATGATGTCTTTATTAGTTCATAAATAGAATAAAACTGCTCTATTTTTTCATCATATTCTCTTGAATTGGTTGCTTTACTGTACTCGTAGTCTGCCTAATGAAGAAAATAACGATGTTTAGTTTATATTCTGTTGTGGAATGTAGTTTCATGTCCACATTTGGCTGACAACATGTGATCAACATGAAACTGACAGACTAACCTTCATTCTGGCTGCTCTTTCTTCTAGTTTCCGAAGTTGTTCTTTGAGTTTCTGAAATTTGCAGAAAGAGGTTGTAAGTGTGTCAGTTGCTTCACCGCACCACATACAAACATCTCGAACTGAATAAAAAAAAAAATCCAACCATTAATGAGCTTGTGGTGACTTGCAGTGACAGATAAACATGTATTGGTCATATGACAAAAGAAGCTAAAAGATTTACCAAAAGTTCCTTATTGCTCAGTGAATTTGTAACATAAACCAATGACAGCAGAGAGAAGATGAAAAAAATCAGTCCTCTGTTTCTGGATAAGGCTGATCCTGCCATCCCTGTTTGAAAAAAACTGGTATCAGTTTGAAAGAAAATAACTAAATATTATTGAAAAAAGAATTCAATGGATGTGTCCTGTTTATTGATATATTGTATAGAATATATTAAATGTAAACCATCTCACTGTAGAGTGTTACTGATCTTACCTGCCTGGTGAATGGAGTAGGAGTTGCTTTACTGTACAAGTCAGGGCTGAAAACACAGTGAGACGACACGCTGCAAATGGCTTATATTCTCTGGTGTTAGTTCACTAATGTCACATCTCATGTGTGTGAGCTGCCCTTTTGCTTTTCTTTCCACAGAAATAGTGTCGGTCAGACCCACTTTACAGGAATTAAGGGTCATCAGTTACTCTTGTGACATTTAAAGAAAAAACTGACAGAAGCCACCGACAGCAAAGGCACGAGAATGTGGTTAACACATTTTAACCACAAAGACAAAAAGGAAACCAGTCATGATACAATGGTAGAACTGTCATTTTTGTTAAACAAGAGAATAGCAGAGTCTCAGTTTTTCCAATAATATCAGTGAACCAAATATGATGTAAGGTGATGTTAGGTTTGTATACTGTGTTCTACTGTTGTACTATTCATGCGTCACTAATTTTGTGCCACTTTTGTTAGTCGCTACAATCAACACAGGAAGTTAGTAATAACATATAATAAATGTAAATAGGTGGTTATCAGAATACAGTTTTTTCTTAGAGCTTCTACAAATACCAGGATCCACAGTTATTTTAACGTGCACATCAATCTGATTGTCACTGATCATTTCAAATAATTTGAAATAAAAAAATATTTTACACAAAGCTTTACTGAAGCATCAAATATTATGCTGTGTATTGTTGCTTGTATCTTTCATGCGACGGGAGTATAACATAAACCTCGCTGATACTTTATTTATATAACTGAATACAATATCTAGTAGATTATAAGCTACTTTAAATAAATAATTACAATATCAGTATAATCCAGTTAATACTATGGAATAAAATTGCACAAACACACAAAAGTAAACAGGGACAGAGGTTTCATTTATTTAAATTTGAAAAATCCATTAAGGCTAGCACTCACTTACAATGTTGCTGTGCATTTAAAGCAACGAATTTTTCTTCACCTACTTCCAAGGTGCATGGAGAAGACAAAGATCTGATGACGTGGAAGACTCCAGCCACACTTATAGTATTAGGGAACAACTTTATTAGGTGACCAAACCTTTTTTGTTTAAACATTTTGTGTTTAAATAAAAACAGGAAACAGAAAAAAATCCAAGTGGACCAATCACACCTTCACAAATAAACCAGCTGACCAAATTAACATTTAACAAGGTGGCGTTGGCTAATTGGTTAATTGGTTAAGCAAAAGCCGAAATAGGTTCTGGACCGAACCACTACAGATTGAAAGGGGAGGAAGGAAAAAAATCCCTGCATATATTTAAAGCAATACAAAATATAATGCGCATAAATGATAATGGGTCCAAATGAACATTAGAGACGTTTTTGTGAAACAAGGGAATAGTCCAGGTTTCCAGTATTTTCAATTTTCAGTTTGACATTTATTATATAGCTTTGGAAACATTCTCTATTATTTAGATGGATATCTTAACGATATCTTAACAGTTTTCAAATGAGCAATATAAGCATGGGAATGTAATAAATCATTTAACCATCCATATAAACACATTTCTTTATGACATGTAGCAAAACATTGTAAGTCATTGACTACTGCCAGATTTACTGATGCAGTTCAACACACAATCTATGTGTTCAGTGGTTTTTGTTTATATTAGCTCTCTAAAATGAAAATGTCTACAAGCTGATCAAGTCATCACACTTTGTAGCACACTTGTACACAAAGTCTTCCTCAGTGAAAACATTTCAAAGCCACTTTTCAAAAAATTTCAAACTAAAGCTGCTTAGTATAGAAGAAGTTTTACACAGGCAGTACATACAATAGCAGAAACAGACCAATGTGTTGTGTCTGTAATGATTAATATGTTACAGTTCGCCTTTGTGCTTCTCTAGGTGTGTTATCCGCTCCATCACAACACTTAGTTTCTCTTCATAGCCCTTGATTTCTGCAGATGTAGTTTCAAGGTATTTACCTATGTACTCACTGAATGCCTCGAGGAATGTCTTTAGGTCATCAATTATCTCCAGCAGTGGTGGAAAATTCAACACTGGTGCAAAATCTTTCCTTAGCACTTCAGACAAAGACTTCATTATGTGTGGCATATCATCTAACAATTCTGGTATGTAGGTTCTGTCAATCTTGTTTTCAGCCTGAAGGAAAAAATAAAGCCAGAGGAACAAAAAAAAAACAAGAAAGAAAATAATTAAGTCTATTATGTTACAAAAAAGCTTTGCATGATGGAAAATGTTGATTTGCTTTGGTGGTTTATAGTTATAGACCCTCCAGATTGCTCCTCCATTTCCACAACATGGATACTGACTGACTTACCTTCCATCTCAATGCTTCTCGTTGCAGTTTCTGAACATTTTCTTTCAGTTCCTCCTGCAAATAAAGAGGAAACATCAACAAACATGCACGTGAAGCATGTGATTATGCCAGAAAACCCCCAAAACACTGTACATTTGAATGTAATGACTTAGTTGTAGAAGTGCTCAATTTAGCTGTTCGTTTGGAAAGTCAACAATCGCTTTACCAGTTGGTCCTGCTCTATTAGTGAACTTGAAAGGCGGATCAGACACAGAAGAGTTAAAATGATGTATAAGCCTTTGGTTGTTATGACACCACTCAGTCCTTTGCTTCTGGACAAATCTACTGCTGCCATCACAGTTCTAAAACAACACAACGAAGTAAAGTCTTTAAATTTCACTGGACATGATGTATTAAAAATCTGCATACACTATCTTCTCACAGTACAGTGTTGCTCTTCTTACCTGCTACTAAAAGGAGTCATGAATAATAGCATGAATGTTGAATGACAACACAACACAAAATGCTTTATAGACTCCTTGAAAAGGCTAGCCTGTGGGCGGGTAGGTGGGCGGGTGTTTAGGTGCACTGTGGTTCTGTCAAAGTATGGATTTTAACAACGCTTTATCTAATAAGGAAGTATAACTTTTGAGGTTAGAAACCTCTTTTGAACCAGAGTCTTGGACAGGCAGCTTTTAACAGGCATGTTTAATGATTCCCGTTTAATGTTAACTGAAGAAAACTCACCTGACCAGGGAGACGCATTCAAACTCAACATAAAAGGCCATGCTGCTAACTAATGCAAATGCAATGAAGAATTAAAAATAATAACAGTTTGCTTTTTAAGTTTGTGCTTTCTGTTCATTATTATTATTATTATTGTTGTTGTTGTTGTTGTTGTTGTTGTTGTTGTTGTTGTTGTTGTTGTTGTTGTAATGACAGACTTTCACCTTTGGCACTGACTGTATAAAAATGGATTTATATCATATGTTGAGCCTGAAGGGTTTAAAGTTCACAGTTAGAGGAACTTGGAAATTAGGAAAAGACTGTTGCTGTAAATCTTCATTATATGTGTGTTACAGAGGATGGGACAGTCTCCAAAATCAGCGTGAGGTCCATTAGTATTTATAGACAAATAATCAGAATAAATAATTCTCTACTAGTTTGTCATTCATTTTTGGTCACACTGAAGAAAAAGTAAGTCTTGTTAATACTATGTTTCAAAAGGGAGGAATGAATTATGATATGAAACCCTGGATGATCTTCTTTTGGCTTATAACCTAATGACTTTGTGACAACATATTAGACAATGAATTTCTGGTTTTCCATCAGACCCACCCTTCAAGCCTCATATCAAGACTTGAAAATCAGACTTCAGAAACAAAAGATTTCCCATTATGACAATTATTTCAGAGATTCAAAAAAGGACGCGTAACATGATTTATTTATTTTTTTACATAATATATTTATTAAAATTGTATTATGATGTCAAATCATTGGACAAGAGCGGCAAAACTAAAAGAAGTTCTCTGGGAATAAAGATAACTTTTATTGCATCAAACATTTACTTATTTAAAAAAGTTGCAGATAATTTCATAAGAATATGTTTGGAAAATTATATAAAAACAATATTTTTCCACTGAAACGTAGACAGAACGTAACTGTTACAACTCAGTATCTTGTTTCTCTTGTTCTTGCAGCAAAGCCAGTCTCTCGTCTAAATAAATTCTAGCAATCTTTAAGGCTTTCCTTGCAATGTTAGCCATTTCCATCAGGTCTGAAGAATATGGCAATGTCTTCACTAGTTCCAACTGAGGAAGAAATTGCTTCTTTTTTTCTTCAAATTCCTTTGAGGCAGTCAGCATGCTGTACTTGTATTGTGCCTGATGGGGAAAATACAACTTTTAGCATTTAAATTCATTGTTCAGTGTTACTTTGTGCCACATAGACTCCTGTTTCCTACACATCCATGTATTAGACTTATACTGATGTCATATCGATTTTTTTTTACTTCCTAATTTTATGAATTCATGTTGTATATTTCTAAACAAATGTAATCTGCAGACTGACTGGACCACCTTCAGTCTCTCTTCTTCTTTTACAGCTTTGCGGAGTGTTTCCTTGAATAGTTCCTACAATTTCCCAGAAAGAAGCAGAGCACAGTGTGTGGGCTAATATAATGAAAACACACATGAAAACAAGTAAATTCTTAATTTTCTCAAAATTAACAAAAGCAAAATTATTCATTTACCAGTTTTTCACTGTTAGCCAGTGAATTTGAAAGCTCGAATAATTTTGTGATTGTTGCATTTCTATGCTTGTGTTCTGCCTGAGAAAAAAAATCACAGTTACATGTTAGTTTATTAGTTACAGTTATTAGAGATGCATGACATATAAAACTTGGAGACTGACCAACCTTCATTCTGTTTGTTTCTGCTATTGCTATCTTCATTTGTTCCTGAAATTTGAGACAATGGAAACTGCTCAGCGAAGTATAAAGCCCATTTCATTTAAAGAAAAATGCTGATAACTTGCAGTGTATGTTAACAAGTTAACAAATAAATTGCAAGGATGTTATGCAAGGATGAATTCACCACATAGTCCTTGGTTTTCAGTGAATTTATGACGCGAACGAGACACAGTAGAGAAAAGATGAAAAACAGGCACTTGTGTTCTCTGACACAAGCTTGTCCTCTGGTTGCGGATAAGGCTGCTGCCATCGGCCCTGAAGTTAAAACAGAATATCAAAAATAATGGAAAATGGAGAATTGTAGTTGAATACATATGCTGATATTTTT